TGTGGGGAGAAGCTTGAGTGTCCCCCTCTTCTGTGACACTAGGGGTGGGGGGTTGCCAGTTAACCCCATGTGGACCACACACCCATCCATTCAGCCCGGCACCCCCAGCCTCTGGCTTCCAAGGGCTGCCCTGGACTCTCGAGCCAGGCCAGCGACCCCTCATTAATCCCTAACATGGACCATCAGCTCGGCAACAAGTCCACCTCCCTCCTCTGTGCCCAAAAAGCTGCCACCCTCTCTGAGGAACCTGTCTCTGCTGAGGCCGTCTCCCCACTAGCCTCCAAGGAGCACCAGAGCTCCCTGTGCCAGTCGCTCCCTCCCAGTCACCTCCTCATCCCTGGCCCTTCAATCAAAGCAGGAGGGCCTGAAATGCTACAATCACTCTCACATTCTTCTGCTTCTTCTACATACTGGTCTCTGACAGGTCCAACTCAGTCACCTAATTGTAATTTCTTTCCTTAAGTTGGCTGATTTGTAAAGCCTGTGTCTTCCTCTAGACTGTTAAGTAGCTCCCTGACTCCTAAATATTATGTTCTAACGTGGCCTGCCCTTGGCTTTCACCTCACCCCGAATGCCCAAGCAGAGTTCACTTATATGGTCAGTTTAAACAGCAACAGCTTATAACCATCCTGAAGTGAACGGACTTTCACCTAAGCCTTAGGTCCTAGGATACCTGACTTTTTAAAATTAAACATTGCAGGAGCATCTCTCAACAGACAAGTCAGACTAAGGACAAGTATGACACAGCAGGCACACCAAGACTTGGGCATATAGAAAAGTTTCTATACATCAGCAAGCTCCCACAGTGCCCAAATTCACGGCTGGGAGGTCCCAGGCAACGTGCAGTGAGGAGGGAGGGAGCTGTGGGGAAAAATGCTGGGCCTGCCAGGTGAAAACATGGTAGGGAGCCCTACCAACAACAAGGCAGATCTCTAGAGCCAATCTGGAAAGTTATAGCACAGTAATGGGGCAGGCTCACTTCTTATTAAAACCAAGAAAACCTATAAAATGTGGGGTCTGGAGGGCCGCCTCCAGGGACTGCCTGCTTGTGGGAGAAGGAGGGTTATCAGAAAAGAGGATGGTCACTTTGTACTCTGTATAGTTGGGGACTGCTTGTATTGTCTGCCAATGAAAATGTTCCCCTGGAGGGGCCCCTCAGACCCCTGGAAGGGCCTTTGCTTTTTATGCGTCAGAACCTACCTCTGTAAACGCACCTGACATGCATTTACAAGCACAAAACGGACACATGGTCTCCTGGGAGCGGAAGCACACCTAGGTTACAGGTGGGAAGACCCGCCCTGACGGTCTATGGTCCAGCGCAGCAAACAGGACTAGCTGGGGGCTGGGTCTGTCCCCACCCACTGCCTCTCTCAGAGTAGATTTCAGGATGTGGCTGGACCGCGACAAACCTCCGGCCAAGCTTCGCTCCGGCAAGCAAGCGTCGCTTTCTTCAAAATCCCAGCCTGAGAAATACCTGCGACGGATCCGCACGGGTGGGAACAGCGACCCTGTGGGGTGGGCCGGCCCTCAAGCTCGGAGGCAGCGCCCGCTCGGCCGACTCGCTCTTGGCCGACTACAGAGGGCGCGTAGCGAGCTGCAGACCCAGGCGGTCCAGCCGCGCCGCGGGGAGGCCAGTTCCCACGGGGGCGGGGCGGGGCTCACGTGACCTGGACGGCCAATCGAGGCCCGCGCCGGGGAAGGGGCGTGCCCGCCAGAACAAAGGGCGCCGCGAGAGGGAGGACCTGGGGCGCTAGCACTGAGGGGCCTTCCCGGCCACAGGGTGCCCGCTGGCGGAGGGTGACAGCGGGGTGGGGTGGTGGGGGAATGTGGCGGACGGGGAGGGGCCACGGAAGGAGGGGTGACAGAGAGAGGGGGAGGGTGACTGCGCACGGAGTAAAAGGGGTGACAGAGGGGGTGCCCATGGGGAGGAGGAGATGAGGGGGCTACCCAGAGATGACAGCTGGAGTACTCACAGGGGGTGGAGGTGACAGATGGGGAGGGGTCACTGGGAGGAGGATGACAGTGAGAGGGGAAGGGTGACGGACTACCCGCTAATGAAAAGGGGTGACAGCGGGGGTGTGACAGCGGGGGAGGAGTGCCTGCAAATGAAAAGGGGTGACAGAAGGGGAGGGGGCCCCAGGAGGAGAGGTGACAGCAAGGGGGGAGAATGACCACCTGCCTAGGACAGGAGTTGACATCACAGGGGTGCCAACCCTCTTGGGGGTCCCACCCTCCTGGCCACGGCTCAGCCCCACAGCGCCCCCATCAAGCTCCAAGAACTTGTGCTTATGTCACCTGATATTGGCTGAAGGGTCTTTGGTCTCTGATACATATTCATGATTTACAATAACAGGTTGGTAGTACATATGCCCAAAATAGACATTTCAAGAACCAATGAACTGAAATAAAAGGAAAGCCCTTTCCTTGCTCTGAAAAGTAGTATCTATTTACAGATTCCATGGCAACGCTGCACGAGCTAGAATATGTAATTCAACAGGACAAACTCTGGGAAAGTCTATCTCCCGTGGAATGAGTGGTAATTACTAAGGAGAGATTCTCAGGGGAGATGTCTGGCCTGTCAAACACTTCCTATGGGACTGAAGCAAGTCATGTCTTGTGCTCACTAAAAGTCACAAACAAAATCTTTAATAAGACACATGTACTTTCATACTGTGTGTACATGTACACAGGATGCACCCAAAACAGTATCAAACAACCATCTTAGTCCCATTCTTCTTCTCAATGATAACCTGCTAACCTGCATGCTATCTGGACTATATGTTAATTTTTTTTTTTTTGGCTGCACCATGCGGCTTGTGGGATCTTAGCTCCCTTACCAGGGACTGAACCTGGGCCCTCGGCAGTGAAAGCCCAGAGTCGTAACCACTGGACCGCCAGGGAATTCCCCATGTTAATGTTTTTGCGATAAATAATTGTAATATTTAACTAATATTTGAGTCCAGCTTAAAATGACCATCCACAGGTAGGTGTCCACTGCAGCACTCTTCATTCCGTAGGAACTGGACCCCACCCTGGATATCCAGCAATGGGGCCAAATCCATACCAGGACATTCAGACTCCGGAACCCAAAACAGCTGTTAAAATATGCTTTCTTTCTGGCACAGTGGTTAAGAATATGCCTGCCAATGCAAAGGACACGGGTTCAAGCCCTGGTCTGGGAAGATCCCATATGCTGGGGAGCAACTAAGCCTGTGCACCACAACTACTGAGCCTGCACTCTAGAGCCCACGAGCCACAACTACTGAGCCTGCATGCCACAACTACTGAAGCCCGCGCGTCTAGAGCCCATGCTCCACAACAAGAGAAGCCACCACAATGAGAAGCCCGCGCACCACAACGAAGAGTAGCCCCCGCTCTCTGCAACTAAAGAAAGCCCTCACGGAACAACGAAGACCGAACACAGCCAAAAAATAAAATTAATTAATTAATTTAAAAAATATATATGCTTTCTTTTCATGCATTAAAAGCATCACCAGTTAAAAAAAAAGCATCACCAGTGAGGGGACTTCCCTGGCAGCCCAGAGGTTAAGAATCTATGCTTCTGCTGCAGGGGGTGCAGGTTCGATCCCTCATGGGGGAAACTAAGATCCCACATGCCATGCGGTGCAGCCAAAAAAAAAAAAAAAAAGCTTCACCAGTGAATACTGCCAAATAGTCCAAATAGTCCCCCATCCTGGACTCTGGAATGGGGTCAGACATGCTAGGTGACTGGATCCCTGCATCAGGGTCTCAGCAGTGGCCCCTGGGGGCAACTCAGGACTTAAGGTCCAGAGAGGTGACTGACATGGCCAAGGGATATGAGGGACCAGAGGCCAGGCCTTAGCTAGACAAAAATATCTCTCTTCTGTAGAGCCATTTGCAGAAAACGGCAGCTCAAGATGCAATTAAATAATGCATTTTTAAAACTTCACAGACGTATAATACCATCTTAACCAAAGTGGAGCTGACTACATTACTTCCACAGGCTCCAGGCTGCCTTAACAACAACGCTATGTAACTATCTGGTGTTCAATTAAAAACCTTTCAAGAAATATATAAAGCTTTTAAGATGATCACCATAGGTCAAAAGTTTACTCCCTGACCTAAGCATTTTTGAAAATGAAGAACAGATTCACATGGGTCTCCCTGTGCAGCAGCGTGAAAGTTGTCTTTAAAAGGGACCATACCTGGAGAACCACCTCCCTTCAGAGGGTCAGGGGAGGAAGCCTACAGCGCCTCCCCCAGATCAGACCAGGATCCAACAGAAGCTGAACAAGCTGCTCTTTCCAAGAGGCCCTGGGGCACAGCGCCACCACCTCACCTCCAGGTGGGGATGGATAGGCTCTTCTCAAACGGCCCACAGGAAAAAAGCAAGACCTCCCTCTACCAATCTCTGCCAGTTATATGAATGTACAATCTGACTTGTACTTTCCGTGTTTTCCTATTCTACATATTTCAAAATGAAGACATCTGTTCACAACACCATTAGAAAACTTGTGAAAAAAAAAAGGCAACCAAAACAAAACCTTGATTTCCTAAACTTTAAAAGTGCTACACAAATAGCTTTCCTATCAATTTTTTAAAAAATAAACATATAAACAGAAAGAAAGGAACCATTCCAGAAACATTTGCACAATGTGAGCAAACCTTCTAACAAGCTCTCTGACCAAAAGGCAACTGACAACTACAAAATGGTTCTAAACTCAAAAGGTTTACCTCATAAGGGTTGGTTCTAATGCAGGGAATTTACAGAACTGGGTGGCAATCAAAAGTGGGAAGTGCAGCAAAATCGGTTTGTCCCGTACAGGGTTATCCCCCAGCCAGATGTGGTTCTTCCCACACTGGCCAAGAAATAGGGAAATGTCCCCACCAAGACCAGCGGTCACGGGAAAACTTCCCGTGAAGACTGGGCCCTGCAGGTGCCAGGTGCTGGAAAGCCCAGGTCCGCCACCCACTCAGGTGTGGGGGCCATGCTGCCCCGCGCAGCCGCGCACACTCACTCGTCGCCGTCGGGGCACAAGCCGCTGGCCTCGTCGTACTTGGAGCAGTACACGTCCGGGCTGTAGTTAAAAGTGCCGTCGCGCCTGCGGAGCGGTCTGCGCCGACGCTGATTTAGGAAATGCCAATGGAAACAGGTAAATGGCCTGTGCTGGGTGCACTTGTGCTGCACAAACAGGGAGCACTGCTCTGTCCTAAACTCCTTTAGATACCTAAAAAGACAAACAGCGTTGGGGTCGCTTCCGTCGCCACCGCCGCCGGCGGGCGGCCCGAGGACTCGTGGGCAGGGGTCAGATCCCGTGCGCCCGAGGGCCCCGACCCCAGGCGCGATCCCCCACTCTGCCGACCCCCTTCCCGCCTCTCCCCACCCAGGTGCGTTTCTCAGACCCCAGGCACGATCCCACATCCCCGACCCCAGATGCGACCTTCGACCCCAGGTGCAAACCCCCATCCTCTATCCCAGGCATGGTCCCAGATTCCAGGTGCGACCCCAGACCCCAGGTGCAGCCCCCCATCTCCAATCGCAGGCACAATCCCCTAACCCAGGTGAAACTCCCCATCCCCGACCCCAAGTGCGACCCCCGACCCCAGGCGCCGCTATCCATCCCAGACCCCAGGTGTGATCCCCAAGCTCAGGTGCAACCTCTCACTCCGAGTTCAGACACCCTACCCACCCCACCCGCCCCCGCAAGCCCAGTCGCATTCCTCGGGTCCCAGGAATGGTTTGCCAATCCCAGACACGGTCCCCGACCCCAGGCGCGACCCCGCAGAATCCAGGCGCGGACTCCTGGCCCAAGGCGCAGCGCCCCCCATCTCCGATCTCAGGCGTAACACCCACTCCGACTCCAGACGATCCCTGACGGCCTCCCCCCCGCGGAGCCCGGGCGAGTTCCCGGACCTCAGGCGCGATCCCTCAGACCCCATGCACAGCCTCCTCATGCAAAACACAGACGCGACCCCCAATTTCAGGTGCGATACCCCGACTCCAGGAACGCCCGGGTCCCCAAGCCCCGGAACCATCCCTGACCCCAGGAGGAGGCAGCCGGAGCCCAGATGGCCGCCCTCCGCCCGAGCCCAGACGCGGTCCCCAATCCCCGACTACAGGCGCATTCTCGGCGGCCCCCGACCCACGACCCCAGGCGCTGTTCCCCGATCCCCAACCCAGGCGCGTGGACCCCCGACCTCGTCCTCCAGCCCCCAAGCCCAGGTGCCACCCCAGACCCTGGGCGCCGCCTCCTGAGCTCAGGCGGCGGTAGCTGAGTAGGATGGTGGTCCACCAGCCCAGAGTCCAGGCGCGGCGCGGAGGCTGGAGGGCCGGCTGGCCAGGGGGCTGCAAGGGAGAGGCAGGGGGCGGGGGGAACGGGGAGAGGGGCGGCGCGGGGCCCCAGGCCGCACCCGGAGGCAGCTCCCAGGCCCAGGGGCGCGGGGGCGCGGGCTGGGGGCGCGCGGGGCCGCCCCCTGCCCCGCCCCCGCTCCCGCCGCGGCCGGCCCGGGCACTGACCTGTAGTGGGTCGGCTTCTCGGTCTGCGGGGGGGACCCGCTCAACGCCGCCGCCGCCGCTTTCGAAACCGACGGCATTTTCAGTCAAAACAATGCAGCGCGCATGCGCCGCGCGGGCCCGCCCCCGCCCCTCCGGATCTCCCCCCTCGCGGAGCCCACCCGCGCCCCCCGCCGGGACGGCCACGCCCCCGCCACGCCCCCATCCGGCGCCCAGCGTAGTGCCGGAGGCCCAGTGAACTTCCCAGCACCAGGCGCCAAGCGGGGACCCGCGCGCACCCCAAACCACGCCATGCCCCGAGCCCGCCGCCTCGGCCGGACGCCTCCACCCACCGTGCCCCCCCGGCCTCCACGTTCACAGCCCATCTTGCACTTGCTTGGTCCCGTTCCCGCTGCCGCCTTCAACGCACCACGGCTGCCCCACGCGCTCTGAACGCCCTGACAGCGCCCTGAGCAGCTCCAGGCTCCGAGACGGAGCCAACAGGTCCCGAGGAGACAGCGCGCCCAGGCTGCTCACACTCGCCTTCATTCGTTCTATGACCCCCGGGTTGGGTGCTGACACCGCAAAGAGTGGCTACAGTTGCTTAGGGCTTGGTGTGGGGGAGAGAGGGGGAAAGGAGGCCTGACTGCTCATGGGTAGCGAGTTTCTTTTAGGAGTACGCACAGGCCCTAAAATTACATCGTGGTAATGGTTGCCCCTACGAATACACTAAAAAATCAATTGTATACTTTAAATGGGTGAATTGAATAATATGTGAACTACATTATCAATAGAGCTAATTTTTAAAAAAGAATCCAAAGGCTCGAGGTCAAGGGGGAGACAGACCGACAGACAGACACACACACACAAACACACACACACACACACACACGCGCGCGCGCGCGCGCGCGCGCGCCCTTTTCATCAACAGGGTGGGCGGGGATGCACAGAGGGTGGGAACTCTGGGAGGCAGGCACCAGCTGCCACCCCCGGTAAGCCCTACCACTCAGGGCCCCAGCTCATCTGACCCTGGAGGAGGAAGCAGGGTGTGTATTTCGGGAGGGAGAACCCAGACCCAGAGTACATTGTTTTGTAAATATATAGCATGAAACATTTTTTTTTTTTTTGGCCGGGCTGCACGGTTTGAGATCTCAGAGTTCTAACCACTGGACCGCCAGGGAATTCCTGAGACATTATTTAAAATTTTCAACCTCGCTAGTAATTTTTTTTAATGCAAATTAAAACAAGGAAGAGCCCATGGAGCAGGCAGACTTTTTGTTGTTCTTAACAGCAACCCACAATGCTGGTGACCTGCAGCAAGAAAAGCCCTTAAAGGAAGTGTGGCTGGGAGGACGAATGGGTACTGACCTTTACAGAAAATAATCTGTTCCATTTCTAGAAACTCCAACCTAAAAAAGAATGAGATTCAGACAAAGATGTACAAAGATAATTATCAAAGTTATTTGGCAAAAACTTAAAGAGCACCTCACAGAGAATGACAATGCTTCCTGAGAATTGTTAATGACAAGAAAAATGCTCCTACTTAAGTAACAAAACGAAGCAAGATACTGCAGTTCCATACGTTTGTTCCCAAGCATGTAAGTTTCTGTTTTTTTTTTTAAACACAAGTAATACAGTAAAATAAGCCATCACTTGCTGGTGGGATGAATGACTACTTTCTTTATATGTTCACATTGTCTAAAGGAATTACTACCTCTACAAACATTACATTTAAACCTGGAAATTAAAATGGCAAAAAATCAACATGATACTTTTGAAGAAAATCAAGCAGAAGAATGAAACAAGGCCCGTGAATTCTTTGGAGGAGGACTAAACAGATCTTGAAGACTGCCAGGATGCAGGGAATGAGAAAGAAGTTTAGGATATTTCCAAAGTCCCGAGCTGGGAAGGATACAGAGCAAAGAAACAGGTTTGGGGAGAGCTTAACTCTGTTTTGGACCTAAGGAGCTTGAGGAACCTGTAAAGTCCAGTAGAGAAGTATAGAGAGCCACCTCGAGCTTAAAAAAGGAAGTTGGGGGCTCAAGATAAAGAAATTTGGGGATCTTTGCTGTAGAGGTGGGAGAAAAGATGCCTACCCAAGAGGCACCTTCCTTGAAGAGAGCAAAGAGAACTGTGACAGGCTGTAAAGATTGTCATTTTTCATGCTTTTGAAGAATGTTCTTAAAAGGCTGGAGTAGTACCCAGACGTTAAAATTTTTAAAAATCCAAGGAAAAGAGTTTACCTAAGTCGATGGCCTCATATCTTCCAAGCTGCTGAGGCTTGGAAGATATGAGT